CTAAACCTCAATCTGGGTCCAAGCATCAGGAAGACAGAGGTAAAAAGCAAAGACATTTCGCCCACCTCTTAGGGGGAGCAAACCTCTTCCCATCAGAAAGGGACCATCTCCCCCTCACTGGTTTGGGCTCCTGTGACCCCTGTTGTCACCCACACCACAGGATTGCTTAGGGAGAAGCTGAGGTTCAAGGGCTCAGATAAGGGATGATTCCTCACTTGCCCTGAACATAGTTGTCTCAGCCCATTTTCTTCTGCTATAACAACACTGCTGTCTGGGTAACTGATAAAGAATAGGAATTTATTGGGCTCATAGTTCTGGAGGCTGAGAAGTCCGAGAGCATGATGCCAGCATCTGCTGAGGGCCATCCGTGGTGGAAGGCATCCCACGGCAAGCAAGCATGCAAGACAGGAAAAAAAAGGGCCAAAGTCCCTTGATAACCAATTCCAGCAGTAGCAGAATTCATCCATTCCTGAGGGAGGGGCCGTCATGACCTCATCACCTCTACACTGTCATGGTGGCAGTTGTTTCCAACACAGGAACACATTGAAACCATAGCAGTAGGAGATGCTCTTCCTTCTTCAAAATGGATTAGAACCCCTAGGAGGCTCCCCAGCTGTGCCAGGCTCTGCCTCCAGGGCTCAGGCTGTAGTAAGATTGGGCTGAGGACAACAGAGGGATAACCCAGGAAGCCCATTCATCTTTTCCATGATACTTGAAATTCTTATCTTCTTTCCAAGGCTGCCTACTACTACTGACTCTTCCCAGCCCTCACATAGCTGCTCTGTGCCTTCTGTTCAGGTTTTATAAAGACATTCAGTAGAAGAAATGAGTATGGAGTGCTTACTTCATTTTACCTGGAACCAGAATCCCCCTTTCCCTCCATCTTAGTGGTTCAGGTTAGTTTATTCTGGCTGCTTTTGATGGCCAGGCAGCATTAGGTCAAATAGCTGTGACTTGTGCCAGGGACACCAGCTCCTGGGGATCCCCCTTCCAGGCCAGTGCCTGCTACACAGGGACGTCCTGCAGGAGCTGGGGCCCTGCTCTTTCTTGCTCTCTGTTGTTCTTTGTTGGCCATGGCCACAGCACAGCTACTGAGATGCTCCCCAGACACAGGCCCCCAGGTAGCACCTGTGTGTCTGGGCCTGGGTGTGCCCCTGCTAGCTGCAGCCTGGCTAAGGAAAAGTCCCAAAACCTGGACTGCTGAAGGACACCCCTTCCCCCCAGGAAACCACATGGACCTTAACAGGTCACCACCCAGGGAGCCGTGATGGTAGAGGGGAAGGAGACTCCTCCTCAAGAACTTGGAAGCATAATGATCTGCCTCCCAGGGAAGAGACCCTCAGTGCTTGTCTGAGCCCTGATCTCAGAGAAGGCCAGCTGCCTGGCCAGCCCTGCTGTTGACTGTGCTCTGAGCCTGGCTGTGTGCAGTGGATACACAGGCGTGTTTGCTGAGGTGGCTCTTAGCAGATTATCACAGAGGAGAGATGGATGCCCAGGATAAGGAAGTGATGTGTCTGAGCTCAACGGTGGCAGACTCAGGCTGGTCCCTGTCTGTGTCCTCCTGCCATGCTCCGGTGTGTGCTGTCTTCCTTATTGGAGCTAGGTTTGACTGAGTTGGTCCAGGTTCAGGTGTCAGGCCTGCTCAGAGCCTTGAGCTCCACTCCATGGCGTGCATGAAAACACCTTGCGTAAAAACCCAGTGTCTGTGAAACACAACGATTTCTCCCGTGACCAGCATCAGAAAAGGGCACCCAGACCCTTGGCGGAGGATGCACAATGCAGGCAGAGTTTAGAAAATAGTCTTCTCTGGGTGAGGCAGTTACGGGTGCACACTTTTTTTTTTTTTTTTTTTTTTTTTTTGGAGACAGAGTCTTGCTCTGTCCCCCAGGCTGGAGTGCAGTGGCACAATCTCGGCTCACTGCAAGCTCCACCTCCCAGGTTATTGCCATTCTCCTGCCTCAGCCTCCCGGTACACACATTTAAATAGCCGTCCAAGCCGAAATGAAAATAGCCATGTCCTTCAGATGCAGAGACTCCAAGAAGCAGGTCCTCTCCCTTGACCCCAGCCACGGAAGCCCAGCCCAAGGTACCCAGCACCACAGGACAGGCAGGAGCAAGTGTGAGTTTGGGAAGGAAACAAGGGAAGTAGAGGGGCAAGAGAGAGGAACATCCAGAATGTGGCATTCGGAGGCTGCGTCATAGAGCCCCCAGGTCTCAGGGCTGCTCTCTGGGGAGGCCCATGGCTAAAGAAGGCTGCTGGGGGGCGTTGTTTTTTGTTTTTTGAGATGGAGTCTCACTGTGTCACCTAGGCTGGAGTGCAGTGGCACGATCTCAGCTCACTGCAACCTCTGCCTCCCGAGTTCAAGTGATTCTTCTGCCCCAGCCTCCCAAGTATCTGGGACTGCAGCGAGCACCACCATGCCCAGCTAAATTTTTTTATTTTTAGTAGAGATGTGGTTTCACCATCTTGGCCCGGATGGTCTCGAACTCCTCACCTCATGATCCACCCGCCTTGACCTCCCAAAGTGCTAGGATTACAGGTGTGAGCCTCTGCACCTGGACCAGAAGGCTGCTGTTTTAATGGTTGCCCCTTTGGGCCACCTGAAGTGATTTTGCCAGCTACTGAGGACTGATGTGGTCACCTCAACCTCAAGAACTTCTGTTTTCCACATGCGTGAATGTCTGCGAGTGGATTTCACTCAATTTTAGATAATGATGCTTAACAGCAAGGGTTGCTCCTCTTCAGAAACAGGTGTTGTTCAGCCATGTGATTCCACATAGGCTGGGGTTAGAAGCACTGTGCTCTTTGAGAGCTGCTTCAACTAATTACTGCATTTGTTCACTGCAGGGTGAAAGTGAGTTTTCAGATACATTTGTAAAATCAGGTGCCTGATTGCTAAATACTGCATTGTTTGAGCTATACTTCCTCGTATGTTGCCTGGTACAGACCAGTTAAGAAATGGTTTCCCATGAGAAGCTGACAATGAAGCTGAACGTGTTTGATAAACTCTGTGCTCATCTATGGACATATAATTGTTTTATTATACGACACTTTTACACTTGGAAAGAAAGGTGCTCCGTAATTTGGCAGCAATTCGTCAGAGCAGCACTCGAGGCTTGCGCTCAGATGAGGCCCTTGGAACCGTGCCATTGTTTCTCGGAACTACTCTGCACTCCGGTTAGGTTTGCGCACACCTCCCTCATTTCATTCCTACAAGTTGAGTAAAGTTCCAGGCCGTTCTCCCAGAACACCTAACAGAAAGCACGGAAAACAAAACCACCAACTCTGTTTTGCCGAGGAAGACGGGAAACTGGCCTCTGCTGCTTGCGGTATTGACGTGCTGCTTTCATTGTTTCTTTTCCAAGACAGCTGTCCCAGAAATCTCTTTTCCTCCAAGTCAACAGCAGGCTACCTCGCTTTGCTTTGCTTTTTTTAAAAGTTAGGCATAACAACAACAGCAACCATAATAATGATTAACAGTTTGATTTCAAAACGCTTTCTGAAGAAATGACAGTAAACAGAGTGCATTTGCCCAAGGAAACCCCCCAGCCATCAGCCGGTAATACAACTGCATGTGCTAATGAACCCGAAGCTGTTAATGTGGTTTCTTCAGTTAAATTGATTCATGAATTTTGAAGAGAACATTATCTAATGAATTTTCTTTGAATAGAAAGCAATTAAAAGGACAAATCAGTCTGATTAACCCCAAAGTCACCCTCCTGCCACAAATGGTGTACAGTTTGAAATTATATCATAAAAAACTAGAGCACATTTGCTATCTTTTTGCCCTCTACTAATCCATGTAAATTAATGAACAACAAAGTTAATTTCTTTGATGACCCTTTTCTAGTATCACCTGGATTATGCTGATGTTTAATTTGCTTAATGTTATAATAAAGACTAAACAGATTTTTTTTTTCGCGGTGAAGTGATTATCGTTCCCTTCAGTTAAGAAGTGATTTTTATTATTTAACACACATGTAAGGGTGTGTGTCCTTTAAGAACCAAATCGCACTTTGCCAGCTTGGCACCAAGTGTAATTAGTGTTCTTGTGGACACACTCGGAACCTCGTTCCTGCCCGTGGAAGCCTTCCCTTTGTTGCCGCTATTGAGAAACTCCTGTCCCTGGAGGGCTGAGCCCCTGCGATGGAGGACGTGGCTCTGTCTCCAGTGCTCCTGAGCTGCATGTCCCACTTGGAAAGACAATAGGTACTGATTCAGACCGGCCTTCTTCACGTGCCCGGGTTTCTCTCCTGCCAACACCACTCCCAGGTAACGGTTCTGAAACCTGGAGGCAGAGGGAGAGAATGTTCTCCTGCGATCGCCGCCTCATTCCTGCAGCAGGGCGCGGCACAAATGCAGTTGGATGTGGTTACTCAATTTAAATGGGAATCAAGTCATTTTATTTTTGCAGCCCCATTCACTAAAGATGCCTGTAGCCAAGGTCACCGCCAGCCCCTGCGTACTGTGGTGGTTGGCACTCCGAGCAGTAGCTGGGGGAATCCCGCGCACAGCTGGATGTGGACAGCCAGCATAATATCGCAGCCTGGCCTGTGGCTGCTTTTGCCTTCTTTGTCCCAGTTGAAGTTGGAAATTAACCAGCAGTACAAAAGATTTCCAAGTAGGCGGGCAGCAGGGACTTCTGTGCGTATTAATTGAACCATGCGCTCACTTACACACGCCCAGTCGATAGAAGGGTGGCACACGCAACCCCGCGTGGAACACGGGGTTGGAGGGAAGGTAGAAAGAAATTGCAAACCTGCAGTGCCAGCTCCAGGGATGCCTTCCAAGGGGCCAGCCTGCGTGGTGGCCTGCCACACGCTTGCGTCTCCTTGCCTGGTGACATGGTGGCGGAGCGGTGCATGGAGGCTGTGTTTTAATTGAGTATAACACCTCTATTTGTGTCGATGCATTTCCTGTTTTGGGACTAGCGGCTATTTATATCAGAGCTGCTGAAGCCATTTGTCCAAATAACATCATTCTGCATTCTTCCTTTCAGAGTCGTTCACCAGACAGGTGTTATGGAAGCTGCTGAAGGTTGTGAAATTCGGAGAAGTGATTTCTTACCAGCAATTAGCAGCCCTGGCAGGCAACCCCAAAGCCGCGCGAGCTGTGGGAGGAGCAATGAGAAACAATCCTGTGAGTTCTCGTGGCGCGGGCATGGCTGTGGGTGGCAGGTGCATGCAGGCGGCAGGGTGTCATCTGATCCCACGTGTTTCCCCAGAAGGCAGGCTGTGCTGCTGGGGTGGGCAAGGGGCAACATCTGTGATGGGGACCATTGTGCCAGATGCCTCCAGAAGAGGCAAGGAGGCTACCCCAGCACCACACTCCTGGAAGCTCCCCCACCCTGGGAGCACGTCTCCACTGCATGAGCTCCTGGTTGTCCCAGTGAGCAGGAAAGGAGGGAGCCTAGAGGAGTGGCAAGCGGGCAGAGGGGGCCCCACCTGCTCACTCAGCAGGTGGAAGTGTTGGATACCAGTTTTATGGTCCACACTCTTCTAGGTGCCCGGAGTAGAGCAGCTAACAAAACAGACAAAAAGGCCTACCTGTGAGGTGCCTGCATCCTAGCAGGATGGCCGAGCAAGGGTGCACATCCAGCCCCATCTCTCTGCGGCCTGCAGTCCCCCTGAGGCCCAGGGCTCCCTGGGTCTCAAGAGCTAAAGCATCACATGGGAGCACACAAGGCGGGAGGCCTTGCAGCATGGGACGAGGGACCTGAACCACACACACCTCCTGTCTCACCAGGGATGGCACCCTCCCCAGAGCCCTTCTGTGTCCTCATCCTTCCCACGCGTCTGCAGTCAGGTTTCACTGAACTCGAGGCTCCCAGGCTATGCAGCCTCAGGCCGTGCTCCCCAGAGGACAAGGCCCAACCGGGACACAGCACGGGTGGGCAGCATGGCCTGTGGTGCCTGGGGGCAACGTGGGTGCCCTTGCTGTCCCATCTCACAGCACCCGGGCCTGGCAACTGGGCTGCAGGCCATCTGGCATGAAGGGGGAAGTCACACACAGCATGCCATGTGGGCGTGGCCAAGGCCACGTGGCGCGTGCTTGTGTGGGCAGGAAGGGTGCTCCCATCTGCGTGGCCCATTGGGAGAACCCACACAACCTCGAGAACGCCCCTGGAATATTCACCCAGTGAGGGTGTGTGGTCACGTTGGCAATGTCTTCTCCTGAAAGCTCTCTGAAAGTTTCTAACATGATGGAAGCATACCATCTGATCAGGGAGCACAGACATGATCACTCCATCATGGGATGGGAAATTACTAAATCAGATAGGCCTCGCTTTTTGAAAAATTGCTGTGGCTTTGCTGTCGGTTTCCAAAACTGTTTCCATCCTTGCTCACAGCGGGAGAGGCCAGCGAGTTCACACCACAGCCTGCTGCTCCTGCTGCCCGCCGCGGCAGCTCGGGGGCAGAGCCTCCGTTTCTAGGAGAAGACAGTTACGTAGACTTTTACACAAAACTGCATTGTTAGTCCCTAAAAAGCAACTCCAGTAGGTTTGCAGTGGATTTCATTGTCGTAATGTACACCCTAATCTAGGTGAGCTTTCTGCCCTATTAAAATATCCCAAATATCCCAGGAGGGAGATACCACAGGGACAGCCACCATCACCCACTCCTCCATCTCTTACTGTGCTCAGTTTTGGTGACAGTGGCTGGTGGGTGCAGTTGGCCCTTCCTTTTGCACCTGTTGCACGTTAATTGCAGCGTCTTCAGCTACATTGTCGTAAAACATCTGCACCACGCCGTAGGAATCTGATTTTTACGGCACGTTGGGAGGTGTTTCCTAATCAAATTTCTGAGGATGGCTTTTGACATTTCCCAGTAAAGCTTAACCTATGTCCCCCTCTGGAAGTCCGCTGTCTTCTCCCCGGCTGTGAGTCAGTTTTGAGGTGTTCAACCTGATGAAAAGGCAGCTCAGATGCCGTTGTGTGGTGGCTCCGTGTAGGGCCCGTGAGAACTGTGGATGCGAATGGGGTTTTAGGGGGTCTCTTCCTGAATCAGTGCAGTGACTGTTTCAGGCAGTGTCTACTCTTTGTGCCCTTTGAGGAGAGTAAGTCCTTGTGTTCTCCCCGCTGAGGTGGATTCTGCTCCCTCCTTGCACACATGTGAAGATGGGAGTGGTGCGTCGGTGGGCGCCGACTCTGCTCGCTCCCTCGTGTGTGCAGCTTCCCTTTTGCTGTAAAGACAAGCTCTACTGACTGACATGTGCAGCGTGGCAACACTCACCCCCACCAGCCTTTCGTGACGCCAGCAGTTTCTCACTCTGCAGTGAAGATGCCGTCGCTGGTTAGCAATCCTGCTTGTGGCGATATTCCGAGACATTTATTGTTCTGCAAACCAGCGTGACTCTCTTCTCCTGCTATTAATCTCTATGAGTGTCTCTGTTCCAGTATGACCTCAGTCACTGCAATGTATAAAGTAGTATCACATGGGGTATAAAACCCTAATGTCCGTGAAGTCCACACATCGACACCCCGTCACGTGGCAAAGCCAAGACTGGAGGTGAGCACAGCATCAAGCAGGAGGGTTCTACAAGCACCAAGTCTCGCCCTTCTCAGCGTCCACATGCCTCCTATGCCAAGGGCAGCCAGGCGGTGGTGGCCTCCCGCGGCCTTTCTGTGGGCTCCACCGTGTGCAGTGACCTTCAACCTGAGGAGGAGGCTGCAGCAGGACCCGCGGCTACGGTGCCCACAGACGCCTCATATTATAGCACAGATATGCCAGAGATATTCCTGCAAGAAGCCTTCAGCTACGTAGTTTACTATCATTCAGGTTGACAGGCTCCCAAATTCCCATTAGAAACCTCATTAGAATGGGCTGGGAGGATGAAAAGGTGACCCAGGGACTTGAGAGAGGAAGAGCCCTGGCCAGCAGTGAGCCATCGCTGCTGTCAGTGTCCTCAGGATGTTTCCTTTTGGCGCTGACAGCCGTGTCCCAGCCGGAAGCCTGCACACATCCACTCCAGCCCAGACGGTGCATCGCTGAGACTCGCTCATTGAAAACATCCCTTATATTCAGGCTGAATAGAGTGATTGTGCATTTAAGGGAGGGGAGTGAAAAATGGACTTGGAATGTTAGAAAACATCATAAAGCTCATTGTGCATTAATTCCTTAGGTGACTTGCAATAAACAGGAGCACATGCTGGTTCATATCACTGCATTTGCTGTCGGCATGAGTTTCTCTTCCCCAACCAGAGTAAGGGATGGCTTTTGCCATGCAGGGGTTTCCTCTATCCTAGGAGCTTGATTTCTCCAGAATTTTCCAGGAAGGATTCACCAGCCAGTGTAAGGTGGTTGGTCAGCATTCCTGGAAGGCTGTCTCCCCAACCAGCGGGAGAGGATGGTCAGTTTCCCAGTGTATTGAGTAGAAAGCTCCTTACAGCCCACCCCCTCCACAAAGCACCCTTCCTCTTCATCCTCACACAGAATTTGCTAAATGCAGTTCAAAGGCAATCGATACATTGCACAGAGAGTCTCCCCACCTTTTTCTAAACAAATGCATTCCTGAGGAGTTAGTTTATTCACAGATTGCCATGAGCGTTAATGACCCCCCGAGTCTTGTTCTGCCAGTCACCCAGATGGCTGCTGATAAAGACTTAGCATCATGTTCTAAGTGTCAGGGTTGTCAGTGGAGCTGAACCATTTGACCAGAAGAAAAAAACGCACAGGGAGCTATTGATTACAGCTTCTCGGTGTCACTTGTTCACCAGGATTTAGGTATTGATGAGGCTGCAAGTGAAAACAAGCTCTTTCCCTTGTGGGCTGCTGCCCAGAAGAACAAAGGCGAAGTTGGAAAAAATATTCAGCTGGTACCAGAATCAGAGGGATTCCATCATTGATTGAAAGGCCCCTTCATGTTATTTTTGTTGGAAACAAATCTATGGGTTTGGAAGTTTTATAGCATTTGAGAAAGGGGCTGCATAAGTGATGGATTCGCGTATTGGATGAATTAGATTTCACAGCATGAAGATTTCAATGCAGCTGTGATATTATGAGCTTCTTGGTTATTGATAAAAATTACATTTTATGCAGCACATGCTTTAAAGGAGAGGACATAGAGGGTACGGATCCTTTGAAAATGTCCTTAGGGCCCCGATACATTTCAGCAGGTTTCATTGTTTTAAGAGTCTGAAACCTGCCACCAAAATTCACACAAACAGAAGCAGCGTTTCCTATTTCTAATGGTAAAAATAGTGCCTATTTGGTAAGTCAGCTCTTCCCCATCACAGCATGCTAAGGTGAGGACTGGTCCTAGCTGTCGGGGTCACTGTTACTCCATGCTGTCTGTCCTGGCCTCTGCATTGATGTATAGGAAGAGGGAGAGGGAGACGCGTTTGTTTTACTCAGTTTTATAATTTCATAGCTCATGGAGAGGGAGAGAAGAAAAACCGAAGCTCTGCTGTGAAGTCTGCTCTCAGGCAGGAAAACTGAATTGGTGCCTAAATGTTTATAAACCGAGATTGAATTAAATGCCTACCTCTTTATCAGCCAAAAAGGTGAATTTGTATTATCTGATAATGCCCTCACAGCAATCATTAATGGCACTGTTGTATTTGATAAAAATCGTCCATCAGGGTAAATATTCCATCCTGGAGATTTCCTGTGACTCCTTCCAGAAGACGGGTTCTCGGCTGTTCCAGAACTTGGCAGTTACTACACCTCACTCTATTAAACTCAACGCTGGAAACAGTCAGCCCTCTGCCACCTGCGTGTTCCCATGTCATAGTCGTCAGAAGCCTCTTAGACTGCGTCATTGGTGCATGTTACCATGGTGACCCAAACTCATCGTCAAATCAGGACGAGCTGCGTGATGTGCAGGAAGCCAGAGCCCCATCTTGCAGCCATGTCATCTGCCGGCACTGGCTGCCATCCCACAAGGTCCCACCTCAACAGTCCATGTCAGGGAGGAGCAGTGTGGCGCGTGGAGCCATGCAGGAGAGTGATTAGAGCCCCTTCTTTGCCACTTAGCAGCCTTATGAACTTGGGCACGAGACTCCATTCGGCTGGAGGCTGACAGTGGGGCCTGGCGGGGGTGATGAGGGCCATAGCTGGGGTGGAAGATGCAGCAGCATCAGGCACAGGCATACCTGCTCCCCGGGGCTTTAAGCCCCCTTTCCAAGGGGGGCTGGGGCTTCCCCCACCTCCCTCAGGGATGTGTGTAGCTGGGCCCCACAGAGGGCCACCCAGCAGATGAAACCTGTGTGGCAGTAGCACAAGCTGCCTGCCCCGAAAGCCTCGGGGGATGTAAGGATAGGAATCACCTCCCTAGGAAGCAGAGGTGTCCAAGAAATAGAGCTTGGAGACACTGGACCCACGCCCCCAGCTGCTTCCTCTAAAAGCTCACCTGACCAGTAACTGATTGCTTTGTCCAGTTCACTGGCTTTGAAGGGTGGGGTGTGGGGAAGCTGGGCATGGGCGGAAATCATCTCTATGTTGAGCTGGGGATACGTGGAGAAAAAAAGAAGAGTGGAGTCGGAGTGATACCCAGGGGTACCCGGAGTGATACACGGGGGTAGCCTGGACATACCTCATCCTTGGGATCCTGTAGGAATGGCTGTTTTTTCTCATCAGGGTAGGACGCTGGGAGCAGGGCAGCCATGTGTGAGGGCCCGGGGAGGCCCCAGGTCTGCAGCATCCGTGTCTGGGCCATCTGGGTTGTGGGGATGAGTGGGCTGCCCTCCAGCTCAGGATGCAGGAGGAAGGGGGGCCAGGCAGTAAGCGGTCCCTAGACATCTCCCATGTGCCCTCCACATGTCGTGCCAGCCAAGAACCTTCCAGAGCAAGCTTGGTGCCCTTCCCCCTTCCTCTGGAGCCTGCACTGGCTCCTGTGGTTATGCTCATTGGCAGTTTACCTTCTTCACGGAGCAGTCACTGTGATGCTTTGCACGGTGATGAGGCATGTCCCCCAACACATCCGCCGAGATGTCCTGGCCCCTTAGTGGCTGCCCACCCGTATACCTGTTCCCCAGGTACCATGAGCTACTTAGGGATGAAGGCTCTTACCCGGGAGGCTCTCCGGCCGATTCTTGCCTTAGAAATCTGTGCAAGACTTCCTTCCCCACATGCTCCTGGGAAGCTGTTCTGGAGAAGCTGTTCACAGTAACTGCTTGTTGGGATGCTTAAGCACATGGCCCTGGAGCCCCTGGAGTCCCCTGCAGTGGCCATGCAGGCTGTGTGGCCATCCCTGTCTGCCCAGGCAGAAGGGGACAACCAGAGAGATGCCCATATGTTATATCCCTGTCTTCCACCTGTCTGAGCCAACTGAGAAATGGATAGCAGACCTCAAGATTTTAGCTTTATTAGGATAAATGCAAGATTGAAGGGGGTGGGTGGGGGACCAGTGGCATGGCCATGGTGGCTTCCCAGTAATTCCCACAAGAATTACACTCACCATCATTGTCCCCTCTGGCTAAGCTCAGGCCCCCCAGCCAGGGCAGGGGCTGACCATCTCAGAAGAGATCAGGGCGCCCAGAGCCCTGGGGCAGACAGGTCACCTGCAGGAGCCCTAATGGTGCTAAGCTGGGCGTACCCCTCTTCCTCCCTTATCGGTGGTCAGTGACTCATTCTCCTTTGTGGGGGTGAGAGTGGAGGAGGCCAGCACCAGCATGGAAACCAGAGGCAGGGGCCACAGCACCTGCCCCCACCCACCACAGGTGGCTCTCAGAGCTTCAGCCGGACAGTGGACCCATGGAGGTCCTCCTGTCTGCACAGCTCGGGCAATGCCAAAGGACCAAGGCAGAGTCTCCCTGAGGACTGCACTGAAGGAGGCGCCTGCCCCTCTGGAGGGAACAGGGATTCCCTTCCCCTGGTGAGACTGACCATAAAGAAGCAGTTGGTAGGCAGGATCCGGGGCCTGTGCATGGCCGCGTGGTTGTGGTCCTCACTCTGGATCAGCCCCTATCAGCACAGGGCATCCTGAGTTTAGGTCAGCCATAGATCCGGATCGTGCTGGCTCCAGGCTAGGAAATAACAGGTCGGGCACTGCCGGAGGCCCCAGGAGGCTACAGCCCAGAGGCCTGTCCCTGGAGGCATGGGAGCCACGTGGGAGTCACTGCCTGCAACTTGGAGCTCTCTGGAGCCATGCCCTCACCCTTTCAAGGTGGTGCCAGCCCTGGCCTCACATGTGGGATGAGGATGGCAGCATCTTGAGCTGTGGGTGAGTTTGGGTGAACGTGCAGATGGCACCTTGAGAGCATGACTGCCTTGGGTCCCTGGGTGGAGCCCTTTTGACCGTCGCTGCTTCCTCTTTGGTTGGGTAGGGGTGGTTTTCCTTGTGATGCAAGCTCGCTTTTTGAAGCCCCTCTGCTAGTTTAAGACAGGTGTGTGCTTAGCATCACTCTCAGGTGAACGGCTGGACGACAGCTCTGTCTCCCCGAGCTCCTGAGTGGGGAGGCTGCAGCAGCCTGTGGGAGGGCTGAGGGCAGGGAGGGGTACTGGGTCTGGGTCCCTGCTGGGACCCAGTGGAGGAGCTGAGCATGCCCTGCCCCCAGTGGGGGTGACCAGGGAGCTTCTCAGACCCCTGCAGGTACCCCAAGACTACAGAGGGAGACACATCCCGCTCCTGGGCACAGCGTGAGGCAGGGGTTGGCCAAGTCCTCCTGTCAAGGGCCAGAGAGTAAATATGTTAGGCTTGGCAAAGCAGCCACAGCCGGTATGGAGAAAAAGGCATGGCTGCGTTCCAGTAAAGCTTCATTTACAAAAGCAGGTGGTGGGCGGCATGGGCCCACAGCCACAGTTGGCCGGCCATGGGCTGGAGAGGCCTGTGCAGGTACGGTCTTCTCTGACGTTTCCTGTGATGCCTGGGTGGTGTCTGGGGAGCGTTTGAGAGCGTCACATACCACCAGAACTTGGAACTGTAGTTTTCGGTTTTGTAAGTGAACGTTGTAAATTACTCACCGGGTGAAATTCAGTTTTCTCCTCCCAAATCTTGGCATAAAGTGATTCTCTGAAGATGCCCCACACCACCTCAGGGCATTCGTCCCTCCCCCAGCCCATGCCGAGACCTCCAGGGACTCAAGGGCCTCAGGGGAGGGGGAGTTCATGCTGAGACATAGCTGGCACCCACCCATGCCAACAGCCTGCCCCCGGCACGGGCCTCTGCTTGGTGGGCACAGGACTCCTGTCAATCAGGGCCTTGGCCTTGACCCCAAAGACCTCATTGTCCAGATGCCTGACTGACGGTGGCTGCCTCCCTGTCTTCCAGGTCCCCATCCTCATCCCATGCCACAGAGTGATCTGCAGCAGCGGAGCCGTGGGCAACTACTCCGGAGGACTGGCCGTGAAGGAATGGCTTCTGGTCCACGAAGGCCACCAGGCGGGGAAGCCAGGCTTGGGAGGGAGCTCAGGTCTGGCAGAAGCCTGGCTCAAGAGAGCGGGGGCTACCTCGGGCTCCCCGCCTGCTGGCCGAAACTGAGCGTGTGCAGTAGGATGGATGTTTGAGCGACACACACGTGTAACACTGCATCAGACATGGGCCGTGGAGGCACCACTGTATTAAAGGAGGTGACAGTGTCCTGGGAACAAGCGTGTCTGCCCTCTCTGTTTCTGTGTTTTCCAGCAGGATGAGTTCAGACGCCCGCAGTCCTGCACACATTTGTTTCCTTCTCTAACGCTGTCCTTGCTCTATTTTTCATGTCCATTAAAACAGGCCAAGTAAGTGGGGAAGGCCTGGCTCATGTTGGGACCACAGCCCAGGATGGGACAGTCTGGCACCGTCAGGCCACAGACGGCTGCCACAGCCACTGTCCACAGCCAGCTAAGGCCTGTCCCAGGCCGTCCACACTAGAAAGCTGGCCCTGCCCCAGCACATCCCCACCATGCCTCCCTTCCTAGCTGTGTCCACAGCTGTGATGACATTTTCCACTCACAGTTCCTAGCATCCCACACTCAGGTCTCACTGAAGGAAATGGGAACAGGCCATGGAAGTCAATGCTTACAGAGGTTTTCTAGCTTTGTTTCCTACCTGCCAAAAAGGCTAATGCAAGATACATCCACTATGCTCTGTATCCGGTGGGTAGAAAATAACCATTTGCCAAGATTTGGAAAGACAAAGAGCTCTCTGGACACGGGTTCGATGGAGTTTGCACCTCTCTGAGAGCTGAAGTCGAGTCTTACCCTCGCTCCATACTCACTGGCCTAGTGTGCTCTGGGCAGCAGGTAGGAAGGGACACAGGCCTCTCATCTCAGGGGCTGCCCCAAAGGGGCCTCAGGGACCATGGACCTGTTAGGACCCCAGCACCCCAATGTCGATCCTGGAAGTCAAGGGTCGCGACTGTGGTGGGCCAGCTCATGTCACTGATGGCAGCAGGGAGGGTTGCCAGCATGGGCAGTGCGCTGCCGTCTGATACTTCATTATCGTGTTGTCATGCTAGCAGTATAATTAACTATATCCAAAAGCCAGAGGGAAACCTGTAGCTCTGCATATGGAGAAATAAAACAGCATATGATGTATAGAGAAAATAAACCGCACCCAGCTGTGCACTAGAGTGCCGTGTTCTTAGCCAGCGTTCCTTGCCACGGTGTGAACCACAGCAGGGAAGCTCGTGCGGTTCTATACATCACCAAGGCCTGGATGAAAACGTGGCCTTACAATGTGTATGGTCGGGACCTGCCTTGTATTTCATGTTGTCTTAACACCAACAAAGGAAAACTGATTTCAGACTTTTTTCGCTGATTTATGATTTATTATATCTCTTTCTGGCATTAGCCAAAATCTAGGTTTTTCCTGTGACACGAAGTGATGTGACTCTTACCCCATTGTCTTAACTCTTGGTATTTTTGAAGCAGGGTAAGTCACCCAGCGGGTCACGTAGACACGTGCTGCTTTGTGGGACAGGCCCTGGGCCCCCTTGCTCCCGGCAGGCCTCAGGTGCCACACACCGCGTCACCGTCAGGACTCGCAGGATGTCTGGTTATTTTTGACGTTGCTGAAGGTGAGTGGGAATAGCTGGGGGCGCTGTGCCCCAGAGGTGGTGCCCTGCGTCCCCCACAGATGATGCCCCTCCCCAGTGATGGCCGGTCACCAGGCACGGCTTTCTCTGCATGAACAGAACAGAAGCTTCTGGCTCTCCAAGGCAGCAGCTTGGGGCCTGGTGGCCCGGGTGTGCGAGCCGCGAGTGCTTTCCAACAGAGGGCACCAGAGCCGTGCGGTGTGCTGTGGAGACCCCGGCACCACTGTCCCTGCTGGAGGATGGATTTGCAGGAGGGCGGCTGGGTGGCACCCCGATGGCTCCCTGTGCTCCCTGAGACCCTGCAGGCCGCCCTCTGCAGGGAGTCAGGAGACCAGCAGGCGCACACACTGCAGGCAGGCTGCCTCCACTCTTTGGGTCCCATGAAGGCTGGGAGCCTCCCAGTGAGAACTCCAGGTTTCTAATCAGGCATGGGCTCTGAGGGAGGGTCTTGGGGCCACATGACTGCAGACAGCGAGGACCAAGCCTCCAGATGCAGGTCAGCACCTGGTGGCAGGGGACCTGCCCATCAAAGCCGTCCAAGGTGAGCCAGCAAATCTGTGTGGCCTGGGAGCACAGGTGGGCCTGTTTGGGCCATGCCCTTGGTGCAGTACAAAACCAGCTCTGCTTGCTCTCCGAGGGTTTCCGCCGCCCTGTCAGAACAGGCTTGATAGATGCCCCGAGGTTCCCTCTGACAGCCGCAGCAGCAGGGCTCAAACCGGCAGGGCCATGTACCGCTCCAAGGACAAGCTCTGCTGAGGCCGACATGAAAAGCCAGCACGCGGGTCGCCTAGAGCCGCTCTGGCTCCAAGCCGCAGCACCGCTCGTGAAAATACAGAGGGAGAGAGAAGGCACAAAGAAATACAAAAATATTTTCCAAATAAAAAGAAATGTCGAAACAAGAAAGCTGTGTTCTTCGGCCTTGGCCCCGGGTCCCCCTCACCCTGTCACATTTCCCAGCACCGTGATGCTTTGAAGACTGACACTGAGACCCGCCGTGGGGCAGCAGCCACTCAGACCGGCCACATCACGCTCACCTGTTTGCAGAGAGAATGAGAGAGTCAGAAGTAATATTTGTTTTTGCAGAATCACACTTGTAGCAAAAATAAGTTGCCCTTGGCCACGCAGGAGACTTGAGTTTTGTGAGGGGTTGTCCTCCCAGTCTCTCTTCCTGTTGGGAACAGAAGTGTCCAATAAACCCACCCGCATTCCACGTGTCCTGTGGCCGCCTCCAGTGGTGAGTCTGTAAGGCCAGAGAAAAGCTGTGACCTCGCAAACGCGCACTTTAGGGTGTTGGCTGATGCGGAATCAGGCAGCCTGGAAGAGCTCTCGCATGAGGCATTGCAGAACTTCTTATGGGCATGAATTTGCACTTCCAGATGTGAAGGTTGCAGGCACCAGGCGTTGCAGAGGAAGTGGGCAAACTCACCTTATAGAGAACTTAATTGGGGTTTGTAATTCGTATACACTTCTTACCCAGCAGAAACAGCTTACTGAACATCCCACGGGTGGCTGGATAATGTGCTAGTGACTGAAACCATCTCTGCGACTTAAGCTTCTCTGGTGCACAGCACCCCACATGCTTCTCCAGAATCCCTTTTGGAGGGGCCAAGCAAGTCCAATATAGATATGTTTACACTGAAACCACCAGTTTTGTTTCTTAAATCGTTTGTAAACAGCAGTATTATCCTGGGACTTATTTCCTACAAAACTGTAAGATAAGGATAAAATCCCGTCCACCTGAATTGCTGAGAAACCTAAGTGGTGGGGTGACCAACCGGAGCCCTGTGGAGTGGCGGACTCTGGGGAGTCAGTGAGACTCAGGGGGATCAGTGAGATTCTCGCAGCAATGTGAGGCATCCTCCTCATAGAAATGCGTTTCCAGATTTTGCGGTGTCCCCTGGCCTGGCCTACAAGGACAGAACAGCCCTGGGGGCCACGTCCCCTCCCTGTCTCATCTGCTGCTCGCCCACCTTGGCTGTCCATGCACCTGTAGCTGTGACCATGGCATTGGTGCCAGCTTGGACTTCATCCCATGGGAGCGGGCAGGATGTCACACTGAGCTGATGTGAGATTGTTCATGTTGCTGCAGATCTTCATGCTATTTGGGCTTCTAACAGCACAGAGGAGGATTCTGAAGTGAGAGATAAATTGGCTTCATGTAGGAGCAAGGGGGAAAGTGTTTTATTTTACTAAGAAGATTTTACTGAAAGAGCAGTCTCTAAACGGCCCTTGCTTCGGCCACAGCTGCTGGGATGGCCTCGGGCCTCACCTGTCTTGTCTGCATGTCTTGTTGCCGTCGGGGCAGTGGTGTCCCCGGAAACAGTCCAAGGCTCTGGGGTGGGGGATTTAAATTTTTTGGCTTCCCTCAGACCTCAGACCATGTGGGGTTTTTTGCTTGCTTGCTTGCTTGCTTATTCATGGGCATTTGATTAAAAGTTTGTGTTTAAAGAGCTGAGCTTCACATCAGTTTTACTTATCAGTTTGAAAGACATTGAGATCTAAACACGGCTCTGCCCAAGACCTCTGCCAAGCAACCCCGTCTGTCTGTCTGTCTGAAGGGACGGGAAGGTGGAGAAACTGCAGGTACTGACCTGTCTTTAAGCCACTGAGGGCAGCCGTCCAGCGTCCTCGGGACCCCATGGCTCCAGCTGCTGACAGATGGGAAACGTCTGGCCTCCATCACCCGGGTCGGCCCCGACAGGGATCTGTAATGGGGGCAGGGGTGGGGGTGGATGAGAAAGTAGGAAGTGGATGTTGGGCAGTGAGGTGCGAATTGACGGCAGAGCCCAGCCCGACAGCACCTTTGATTGATGAAAGGACATTGTTAACAAGCCTTTAAAGTTTCTCATTAATGTTTTTTTTTCGTTGAAAAAAAAGCCACCAGAAAAAAATTCCACATGGACAGTAATTAAGATCGATCCCATACAGTATGGTATCAATGTTAGGAGCCTTTAGGAAAAAATTGTCCACCCTCCTGTTAAAGACTTCTGTTCGAGCTGCCATTTTCCACGCTGTTAGAGTCCCTGGCAGTGTGGGGACCTGGGCAGTGAGGCACGTTCTGCAGATGCGATGTGGTCAGCCTCACAGATAATGTTTCTCCCGTGGCCTGAGGATGCAGAGCAGAGCCCGAGCTTTGGTTGTCATGGACTCTGATGCAGTGCGGGGAGGAAGGGTGGAGAAGGATCTCATGGATCTGCTGCCGTGGAGAAGCTGGAGTTCTCAGCTCTGAGTGAGTCCCAAGAAGTGCGTCTGCGTGGAGTGCACCTGGTGCCCATGGTTCTCAGCAGAGATACTCAAGCCCTGGGGCAAGGGGGCTGTCTCTTCTTGTTTCTACCCGGGGGCTGAGCCAGCCCCCCCATTATACACACAGCACTACACACGTCTACACCCAATAGTTCTTTCCAAGTCTTGAGTTACACGGCACTGCTGTTTGGACCCCGAACACCAGCGGAACACATGCTTCCAGGTTGATTTGTTGACTCACATTAAGAAAATCCAGCTGGAGAAAGTATCAGGGTCCTAACGTTAAACAACATGTGATATTGTGCAAAAAGGATTGCTTTTGTGTGTTGGGATTGCCATGGCTACGAGGAGAAGTGGATGTGAGACTTGGCCGGTGACGAGGAAGCATGTGTGGAGCATGGAATCAGGTCCTGAGAAAGCAGGCGGTCCTCAAAGGTGGCAGAATTGGCCCTGGGTCCCCTGCCCAAAGGCCACTCCGCCCTGGGCCTTAGTGGGAAAGCTCTGCCCTCTAGGCTGGCCTCTGAGAGGGCTTCGGTTCTAGGTGGGGACCATCACCTTCCTGTCACTGCCCACTTTCTAACCAGACAAGGAGGGTATCTGTACCTGGCGCTAACCCTGGGTTTGGGGGACCGCCCTGCAGTCCCCATTGGACAGAGAAGGCTTCGTTTCTCAGCAACCCCAGGCTTTAATTCACTCCCACGATGTGTTTCTTTTGGGGGTAAAACAGTCCCCACGGAGAGTTAAATTTTAGGAAGCCATGAGATCCTTCCAGATGAAAGGCATCGTGTAAGTGTATGATACTGAGCAAAAACCCCAGTGCTCCCAGGTGTGGCAACAAGATGCCTGCACTCACTGGGCACCATCCAGCCGGGGCGGGCGCTCCCCGGGACTGGCAGGTTCTCCAGGTGTGGCAACAAGACGCCTGCACTCACCGGGCACCACCTAGCTGGGGCAGGCGCTGCCTGGGACTGGCAGGTTCTCCAGGTGCCTCCTTCCTCTTGCGGCTTTGCTCACTGTTGATTTTCAGGAAGGGGAATTTTAAATATCCCCCCTAATCCTGAAGAGAGTGAGCAGCATCTTCAGGAGGAGGCCTCACTGTCATTGCCACACTGACCATAAACCAGAGACCCTGCTGGAGAAACCCTCTGCAGGCCTTGGAGGCCTCGCACATCCCAGTTACGGGCAGCGTAGCTGTCCCCTCCCGAGAAGATTCCTCTGCAATGGGAAAGCGTTTGTGAAATGAGGCAGGGTTTACATAATTGGTGTGAGCCTGAGCACACCCAGCAC